CCGTGAATGAGACTGCTTATGTCCTCCAGGAGCTGACGGTGATTCTCAAAGAGACTGCTTCTACATATTACAGACACAATGTACCCTCCATCCCTGCCTCACTGAGATGTGTAATGAGATGCTCCTACAAGAGACACATATACACAGTAAAACATCTACGTATTTCGTTAGTTGACAGTTGATATAGAAGGTTGCCCGATACCAAGATTTCTTATGACATTCACTAACATCCTGACTCAGCTACACCTCTCCCTGAAGATAGTATTTAGAGTGGCAAATTTAATAACGATGATAAAGAAAACAAAACTCCTGAGACTCTGCCCTTCAAAAGTGGTACAAAGAGGTCTTGAACAATCAGGTTCTATTGAGTACATTGAACAATCAGAGTACCCTGATGTTTTCTGGGTAGGTATAAAGAAGCAAACTAAATAATGAGGGCATTACTAAAGACAAATTTAAAATTGAACAATTTTGCCTACATGGAGTCATTTTGTATATGTTGAGTTTGTTGATGAAAAATTCCCAAACCAAAAGAACTTCATAAAACACACAGAAACCATCACGAAGGATCTATGCCATTACTGCAAAGCTACAGTCGTTAAGATAGTGTGGGGCCTCCAGGATAGACATACGTAGATCAAAAATAGAAAGTCCAGTTGAAACTTACACCTGTACAATTGATTAAATTTTTTGAGATGTTTTTTGCTATAGGGCGCATGTGCTCGCCAGAAAGACAGAGACAGAGAGAGAGACAGAAAGCAAGAAATCACACCCCAGGGGGGATGGCCATGCCACAATCCTTCTCCTCTATTCTCCTCTCGGGATCTTGGGCATGCACGCACACGCGCCCGGCGTTGAGTTTAATCCACCGGGTCCAAGACTTGAACTGCGGTTGATTACATGGGAGTCTAGCGACATAGCCATTACGCCAACTGCTGGTCCCCACAATCAATTAATTTTTATCAAGGGTGCTATGGCAATTCAATGGGTGAAAATAGTCTTTTACGATAAATAATGTTGTAGCAACTGGATGGCCACATGCAAAAAAAAAAAAAAAAATGAGGTTCAATTTCAATCTCATATCATAGGCAAAAATTAGCTCAAAATGCATCAAAGACCTAAATGTAAGAGCTACAATCATAAAACTGTTAGAACAGGTATAAATCTTTATGAGCTTGGATTAGTTAATGTTTTCTTAGATAATGATTCCAAAGCAAAAACTGGACTTCATCAAAATTTAAACTTTTGTGTTTCAAAGGACACCATAAAGAGAAATACAATCGCAGAATGAATAAAAATGTTTACAATCTACACATCTGATAAGAGACTTGTATCTAGTATATATAAAGAAATCTCACAACTCCATAAACAAAACTTGATTAGAAAGTGAGCAAAGGGGTAACCGGCAGTTAGTGTAATGGCTATGTCGCTTGACTCCCACGTAGTCAAGCACGGTTTGAGTCCCGGACCCAGTGACTTAAACTCACGCCGGGCACGTGTCCATGCGTGCCCAAGATCCCGAGAGGAGAATGGAGGAGAAGGGATTGCGGGATGGCCATCTCCCCAGGGGGTGATTTCTTGCTTTCTGTCACTCTGTCTCTGTCTTTCTGGCGAGCACACACACCTTATAGCAAAAACCTCTCAAAAAAAAAAAAAAAAAGTGAGCAAAGGGACAGCAGGTGGCATAGTGTTTAAGGTACTGGGCTCTGACGTGCCTGACTGCAGTTCAAGTACTGGACCTAGAAGCTTGAAAAATTATACTGGGTGCATGTACATGCATGCCCAGTCACCAGTATGAAAATGGAAGAGAAGAGATGGCAGAAGCAGAGACGCCCGTACGCTCCCCCCCCCCCCCCCGGGAAAGAGATTTCTTACTGTTCCTCTGTCTGTTTCTCTCCAGAGAACACACACGCCCTACTGCAAACCCCCCCCCCAAAAAAAAAGTGTAGAAAAAATCTGTAGAGATATTTATTCAAAGAAAATACATATTCGGTCAATATGCACACTAAAAGATGATCAACAGGGCCCAGCTGCAGTAGCAAACACAGTAACACGGTGATCTGCAGTGTTGGAAGTCATGTGGCTAACCAAAAGTTTGGACCCTGAATCATCCTTAAACATGTTGGGCATGTGCTCAAGATCCTGACTAGATAGAAGGCTGGAGGAAGGGACTTGCAGTATGAAAAGGCCCTACCAAAGATAACTGTTCTCTCTTTCATGGACGAAAAACAACAACAGGACCAGTTGGGTGGCAGAGTGGTAAAGCAACTGGACCCCACAAGAGAGAGGTCCTGGGTTTGCATCCCCAAACCCTCTTGGGCACACATGCATGAGCCCTTGATCTGGGTTGGCTGAGGCTGGGGGTGGACTGCAGGGTGTAGACCTTGTTTAGGATACCTGCCTAGATCTCTCTTGTAAACTTACAATCAATCAATAAAACAAGATAGGACTGACAAGTGGCATGGTCATTAAGGCTCTGGAGGCCCACATGGCCAACCGCAGTTTGAGCCCCGGGCCTGGTGACTTGCTTTCTCACCTTCTCTTTCTCTCTCCCTCTGGTCCAATTTTAAAAAAACGATCATAATAAAAATAAATAAATAATACTTAGGGGGGAAAAAAGGAAAGAAAAAGATGCTCGATGGGCCCAGATATGGTGGTGTGTGCCAACAAATACTGTTATCTATAGGCTAATGTCACATAGTAGGCCGGGCATGATTCTTCACTGACCCTAAAAAGCTGGGTGCAGTGCATGTCTGTAGTCTCAGTAACTCAGAAGACTGAGGCAGGAGAATTAAAATAGAATGAGATTCTGTCTTGAAAAAAACAAAAAAAAAAGGAGGGAGGGTGGGGAGAGCAGGTGGCTTGGTGGTTAAGGTGCTGGACTACCATATCGCCAATCATGGTTCAACCCCTGAATCCAGCAGCTTGAAAATTATGCAGGGCATGTGTGTGTGCATGCCCAAAAACCCGAGAATGGAGAAAAGACTGGGGTGGCCATCATCCCGGGGGTGGGGAGTGATTTCTCACTTTCCCTCTTTGTCTCTCTCAGGTGAGCACATGCCCTATGGCAAAAACCTAAAAAAAAAAAAAAGAGGGGGGTGGTCACCGACTATCACTAGCCCTCAAAGAAATGCAAATTCAAAACCACAAAGAGATACCAGTTCACCCCTATAATAAGAGTTAGGTAACAAGTGTAAATAAGGAAGGAGAAATGGGGACTCTCATACAGGGCTGGTGGGTCACTTTGGAATATTGTCAGTTCCTCAAAAGGTTCAACACAGGTATTCGACACAAGTAACACATGACCCAGCAATTCCACTCCTGGGTATACATCCAGAGAAATGAATACCCACGCAATAAGGGCAGTGGTGGTAAGTGTTCAGCAAAAAAACAAAAGGGGTAAAAATAAATAAAAATTTTAAAAGTTATGTCAGGACAGATACAGGATGGATGTTGACACTGTTATGTACATTCTAGGAGGTACCATTAAAATTCCAAACCCTCAAATAAACATGCTTAAAAGCACTGAAATGTTTCTCATACGAGTATGTTCTAATTCTGTTCACGTCCTATTTTAATCCATCATCTTTACAGCAAACAATAAAAACTAAAAGAACTTTTGAAACAATCCATTTCTTATGCAAACAGAATCACATTTAACAACCAAAGCCGTGTGGCTCAAAAACTTCCGAGCCGGGTTTGGATTCAGAGAGATAGTCTATTGTCGGCGGCCATTAAAATAATGCTCTGGGATCAGGACCAGATGAAGAAAAGGGAATAAGCAATTTGTTTTCATTGATTTTTCTAGTACATACTAATTTTATTAAGTAAAATGTCCTCTGTAATAAACCATTCTGTCAATCATACAAGCTGGATTTTAACAGGCAGAAAGTGTAAGGAAGGCTGTTCTGTAAGCCACCACATACCATATGCTGAGTGTTATTACTGCTTTTATATCATAAATGATGTGAAGGTCTAGTCTCATCCCAGTATCGAGTTCATCTGATGGATGAACTTCCTTGCCTATCTTATTCTGCATAGAGATTTTTTTTTTCTGCTAGAAAGCACGTATCCCCACCAGAAAGACAAGGGCAGGGTGGGGAGGAATTAGAAAGCAACCTCCAGGGAGGATGGCCATGTCACAGTCTCTTCACCATTCTCCTCGTGGGATTTTGGGCACACACATACAAGCATCTGGAATGTGTTTTCAAACTGCCAGGTCTGGGACTCGAACTACACACTCGGCCACATGGGATCCAGCTGCCTTCACTACACCACTGGCTGGCCCCAAATCCTACTTCTAAAAGAATCGATAAAGAGAATCAATACCATTTTACCCATTAATGCAGTTCAAGAACTGATACTACAGTTTCAAAACATTATACAATAGTTATGGACGACAGTCTCAGGATCCTATAACTAAGCTTTCCCTTAAAGAAAGAAAACCAATCCATGATTTTCAGGCCATTTATTCAGGACAATCTTTCCACACCCATCCCCCCCATGAAATGTACTAACCTTAAACAAAGGTCAGTGGGTGAAGTAAGGATTTTAGAAACGAGCCTCGGATTTGAGGCTCACCACACACCTACCTTCCACTCACCTATTAGTCTTATCCCCACCATTCCTTCACTTCCTTTGAAGTCTAGATCCAACCGTCTACGAATGCGGTTCAAGCCTTCTATCATGGCCTTGCCCACATCACTTTCCTTCCTTGCAAACACTGCCTTTCTCTCAGCCCCAGTAAGTCTTCACCTGTCCCCATCTCGTTCTCTTTTGAAACCCAGGAAAAGCTCAGCTCCAGTGCAGCCTTTCCTAACATCCCTCACCCCGAAGGAGGTAAACTGTGCTCCAGCAGAGCCAGCAATGGCATGCCATCGTCATGGCTATAACAGCACACAGAAGGGACACAGGACTAACTCAACTCTGCATGTCCTTGCAGGACTTCAGCTCTGTCTTAAAAGATTTACAGTCATCATTTATTAAAAATATCCATCTGCTGCAAGGTTATATAAATAAGTTTAATGCAAACATTCAATAGGGCATCTTTCCCAGTGCTCCCAAGATTTCGTCTCTCTCTGCTGCTGTAGGCATAGGTGGCTTTACTCCATTCTGTCTTCTCTGGGCCATAACAGAATTCTGTACATAGGCATAAAAAAGAAACCAAAATCAGTCATGTAATAAATGCTCATCATCTGTCAGTAACTTGCTACTGCTTCATCAAAAAGAAAATGCTAATGATCAAGTTTTAAAAACTAAAAACAGGCCAGCCCTTGGCATAAAAAAAATCAGGTGGCTGGATGCCATACAGGCAACTGCAAAGGTTGAGTCCCAGACCCAGCGGCTTGAAACACATGCCGGGAGCTGTGCATTGAGTACCCAAAATCCCCCAAAGGAGGGAGAAATAGAGAAGGAATTATAGAGTGACCATTCCTCATGGGTGGTATAAGGGGTGCTTTCTCACTTTCTCCCTCACCCTCTCTGGTGAGTGTGCACACTCTCAGGTAAAATATAAAAACTAACAAACAAAAACCTAGTTCTAGGACTCCATATAAATGCTGCTAAATTTTAATATTTATTTAATAAAATAGAAATAATTATCTCCATAGGAATATGCTAACAGTAACTGGGTGGGGATATACCATTTAAATACTAGAGCACTTCACAAATAATCTAACAAGAAGAGCTACCAGCAATCCAATTAGCAAAGAGAAACCAAAGAGCTAGATCCAGTACTCAGAGAAACTGTCACCGACTGGAGAAAAATGGAACTTTTTCAACTACGGTGGTGGCAGAGGGAGAGAAGGCAGAAATGGGAGCCTAGTATGATGTGTTATGGTGGGGCGACTTACACCTTCTGCTCACCTCCAGGAAAAGTAACATATAACAAAGTTCCTGTTCTAGAGTCAGAGATACTTATTTGTCTAGGCAGATGCATAAAAGTGCACTCTGGGAGCAAACAATGGCACAAACAAATGTTCTGAGAGACTGATCCACATGGGAAGGTTCTGGGTCTACGCCTGGAGACCTCCCTAAATACACCGACATGCACAGTGCCCATGATATGGCACTGGATGAAGCTGCAGGTGGAAGGCACTGATCCCCTATTGGCTGTGCTATCTCACTCTCTCTCTCACTCATGAAATAAATAAACTTAAAGAAATATTTGGGAAAAAAAACCTGCATTTTTATATCTTAGAGCAGAATTAGTCAACTAACGAGTGCTCCTGAGGACTTTATAGAGCTAAAAGAGCACACGCAGGATAAAGTTGAAAAGTCAAGTTTCCCCACAACCTCACTGGGAAAGGGTGGTGGGTATTAACTAATGTCAGAACTCAGCTCCATGCCTAAGGGATGAGTTTTAACACAAAGCTAACCATGCTAGGCTTACCCAGAACTTTCGGCAGTTTTTGTACTTCAAGAAGTAAGTGGAACACCTTTCCCTGTCATAGTTATTTTCATCCATGCATCTGGTAGAAGCATCAGATTCCTTAAATATGTAAGAGAGGCATCATTTAAAAGGTGGAATGAGATCTAAAACACAGAAAGAAAAAAAAAAAAAACTTCTGAATCTGCTTCCCCCCAAACTAGACGTAAAATAATTCATTTTTGCTCATTTTAATGTGTAGATACTAAAATAAACTGAATAATTTTGCCAACTATCCCTGCACTCACTCTGCTCAGGAAGACATCTTCCTTTTCAAAATCTGGACCACATTTCCAAGTATCAGATCACAGGAATTTGAGTCAAAGCACTGTCTGTGATTCTTTAATCCAATATCCATCAAACAAGAAACTGAGGCAGGTTGCAATGTGCTTAAAACCACTGCTGCACAGCTAGAGCAGAGCCCAGTCTCCCGCCTCACCGTACAGCCCTCCTGCTTCTCCAAATCCCCGTTTTGACCTAACATTTGATCTTATTGCTGGCTTTGAGAGGCCAAGTAAATCGCTAATAACTGGTCTACATCAAAGCAACCTAAATTAACGCCATTAGTCTCTGCATTTTGGGGCTACCATTTACTTTATTATGCAAGTAAACACGCAAGTATGTAAGCAATTTTAATAGATATCATTAGCATCACTTCAAAACCAAAATGAACAGCACAAGGCTATGAGTTCAAAGAACGGTAGCTGCCATTTGAGAATTAAATATAAGTTGTCCAAACTACAAGTAGATTGGATAACAAACTTCAAAGGAAAGTATGATTCTGAGAAGTCATCTAAAAGAAAGCTTTAACTGAATAGGTAGGTAATCTGCTTCACAGATCTAAGAAAGATGTTCCAGCTAAACAGATTTACTTATTAATTTTACTGAAAATTGATCTTATATTAGAATAAAGCTAATTATTTTTTTTGGGGGGGGAAGGAGTTGTTTTTATAGTTTAGTTCCTGCTACAGGATGTATGTGCTTGCCAGAGAGAAAGGAAAGATGGGAAAAGTGAGAAATTGCCCAACTGGAGGGACGGCCACATGGTAATCCCTTCTTCTCCATTCTTTTCTCAGGATTTTGGGCACATACGCACATGTGCCCAGTATGTTTTTCAAGCCGACAGGCCTGGGTGGGACTCAAACTACAGTCAGCCCTGTGGATCCAGTCGCACCAACGCCATGCCACCAGTTGGTCCCAACGACAACTTTCTCAGCCAAATATTTAATTAGTGTACACATATGGAAAGTGAATAAAGGCCCGGGGAGTACATCTTCACAGTACAAGTATAATGACTACATCATTCAAGCGCATAAAAGTGACAAGTAAATACTGTAAATCTTAGCAAATAAATGCCATTAAAAGCTGATACAGACAACAAAACATTTTGTTTATAAAATACCTTTGTGGGAACCAGCAGTTAGCGTAATGGCTATGTCGCTGGACTCCCACGTAGTCAACCGCGGTTCGCGTCCCGGACCCGGTGGCTTCAAACTCACGCCAGGTGCGTGTGCGTGCATGCCCAAGATCCCGAGAGGAGAATGGAGGAGAAGGGATTGCGGCGTGACCATTCCCCCTGGGGCGTGATTTCTCACTTTCTGTCTCTATGTCTCTCTCTGTCTGTCTAGCGAGCGCAAGCGCCTTATAGCGAAAACCTCTCTAAAAAAAAAAAATACCTTTGCGAACAACTACAGGCTTTTCTATTATCAGCTGAAGGCTCCTCCTGTTATCAGCAGCTTTTGTACTCTAAGCCAGATCATCTTAAGGACACAATGAAATTACTGCTAGAAACTAGAAACCTAAGTGACAGTTTAAAAATGTCACACCTTCCAATCTTCCAAGTTTAGACTGAAGATTTTCCTCAGTGTTATATATGCCTGTCTACTTGAGAGTGACAACTAAATGCTTGTACAGTACACGAGTGACAGCAACTAAGGAAAAGATGAATCTTTGTTAACTAAAATATGAATAACTAAAAATGGTCTAGTGAAAGGATAATATGCCAGGAATATATTTTGTACAGAAATAACTTTATTCAACAACTGTGGAAAATAGATAACCATAAAACTAGAAGTCTTATCTTCTTAGCACTCGTGAAAATTAAAAACAAACCACCCTACCGACAAGCAAGGATTGATGTCTGGATCTCTCAGCCTCCGCGTTACCATAGGCATCCTAACGGTCTTCTTACTAAAAGCAGATGGAAAATAGTTATACAGTGGATGGCAGAAAACAAATCAATAAATCTCCTTAGTCCCGTGAGCACTGAAAAATTTAATTTTGGCATAATGATCCTCTAGTGAGGCACTCCATGTATTCTCTGTATTTTGAGAATAAAGACTTGGATGTGTTTTACCTCTGCACTGCCAAGAGAACACAAAGGCCATAGTGAAACGCAGCTATGAAATTTGATTGTAATGTCCACTCCAAAATCACAGCTGTAATCCAGTTGTGGTTTACTCTTTAAGTTTAAGAAACTAAATGTCCTAACAAACCTAAGAACACAGTATGTACTCCAATGGCTACTTCCTGATACATTGACCAGCATACAAAATAACTACGGAATCATTTTATACAGTCCAACTTTAGTAAAAATCTCCATCAACTAAAGTAGCAGAATTCCTACTCTGTGGGCTAACAAGAGGGTAGCCAACACACCAAAAAGACATGTTATCATTTACTTGATATTTTGAAAAGCATAGTCCTTTTACTTTCGCTTAAATTTAAATTCTAATGTTATCCTCCACCTAACTGGTATATCACTGGTTGAAGGAAGTCAGGGAAGGCCTCTGTGGTTCAGAAACTTCCCAACTAGAGTCTTAGAGCTTTGCTAAAGTCTTTTATCAATTAAAGATGATCACAGTTTCCTAAGCGCCAATTAGTTATTCCAAGTCAAGTTACATACTCAAGTCACAGGCTTGTCAATGATAGCCCAGGACAACTGCTTTCTATAACAGAGTTCAAGGGAAGTTGGTGACCATATTACCTTCAAAGAAATATTATGGAAAGGAACTAAAAGAGAAAATTCAAAAACCAAAGGTCAAAAAGCTTAATTACTTCAAAGTGACTATTTTTTGTGTGTGTTCCAATAGACTGGTATACTATTAATGAACTACCCAGGTATTTCTAAATGTTCTGAACTAAGCTTAAGGAGCTGATCTAACTTGTACTTTCAAATCCTGCTGTAGCTTAATCATTCTTCTCTCAAAGATCAAAGAAACCAACAAATAATGCAGTGTGACTTAGAAAAACCCCACTCAATTAAAAAAATAAAAAATCCACTGGCCAATAAAAGCAGACAGAGTTCAGAATTTTGGTATAAAATGTCTTTACTTTCCCTGCCCAAGATGGGGCCATGAGAAAATAGCCATCATATTAAAAGAGATAAGCTGTATTTAGGAAAAACAATAAAACTCATAACTTCCTGCTAAGGGGAGGTATTCCCAATCTAGTCACTCAGTCCTATTTCTTCTATTATGGAAAAGATCAAAATGTCTAACCTGAAGAAAACTTTAACAAAAAACAGAATAGAGTTGATTATTCTGGGGTCCTTTAACTTTTAGGCAACCACTAAATAATTCTTTTATTTTAGGATTTTCATTGAACAATATAAGAAACATTTTGGCAAAGAGGAAATTCTATTCTATCATATTCTGTCTAGAAGTTTCCTCCTTTCTTGAACCTAATTCTTCTGCAGGCTTCTTCCTCAGACAGATAACAGTACTAAGTAAATTCACAGTCTTCTTTTTTCACGTCTATGATAGGATGTGAAGCACAGACCTCTGCTTAGCTGTTCATACACCTTGGATGTAACAGTCTGCCTTACATCTAAGTACTCTATCAGTCAGAAATTCTTTTAAAATAATATCTAGAAACATCACAAACACCGGGATCAGGTTTGCAGCATGAGCTTTTTCACATTTTATTTCCTTTTCCTTCCGGATTCTAAACGCAAATCACTGTTTGAATTTCCGAACGTTACCTCCGTGAGTTCCTCATGTATGAACTGGCAATGAAGAGGATATGTCAATTTACAGTGAGGAGTAGGGCTCAAGGGCAAGATCAAGTGTTCCGCTAAAGTGGCCTTATCTACTAGCTTTTTGAAAGTATTAAACAAATGTTACAAGGCTCTACTATTTGCAGAGGATAGCCAGAAACAAAACCAAAAAAAAAAAAAAAAAAAAAAAAAAACTGGGGGAG